CCATCGCTGGATTGTTCCTTCCACTCTTGCCCACCGTATGAAACAGTAAGCAGCTGCTAAAAAAAACAAAACAAACAAAAACAAAACAAAAAAACAAAAAAATACAAAAAAAGTAATAACATTATCTATGATGAACTGTGTTTCCTACTTGATTAAAAATATAAAGAACTGAGTGTTTATTTCCCTAATTAACCAAGAACTTTTGTACACGTTTAAGCTATTATTATTATTAAAAAAAGTGTTTGCAAAAATGGTCAAGATTAAAATATTGCTGAATTATATTAAAAAGAGAAAATGTCCTTTTCATGTTGAGCTAACATTTGACTTTAGCACAAAAAAGAGATATTTTAGAACACGTAAAATAATATTTTTAGTTTTTCTTCTCATTTTGTTACCAAATTTCAAAACCTTTCATGGAGGTTATTATAGTATATTTGACACCCTATATCCCTGTGATTAGAGATGTGTATATATATATATATATATATATGAGGGCTTAAGGCATGCTGTGTCTGAGCTTTGTCTAAATGTTATGCAGAAGTCTGTAGAGTTAAAAGGTACGTAGGTTTAATTCATGCAAGGTAAACAATAAGTGCTCTCTTTTATACAATATGCATTGCATCTGGACCTTCAACATATAAAATGGTCAGTGAAACTTCTGTGAACATGAAGAAAAATTATTAAAAAGGCATTTAAATGAAATTTGCTAACTTGTGATTTTTACGGTTTGAACCAAAGGTATTCAAATAGTAAAAAGAGAGAGAGAGAGAGAGAGAGATCTCCCATATTTTTCTGCACCTGTTTGGTTTACAACTAAGTAGGTATATTGTCATTATTGTGTATATGAGATGTACTTGTATTGTTCATAATATATTTTTTTTATGATGTGTACTTAAAGTACTTTAACGTAACCTAATTTCCAGTAAACCTGTTTTTGAATGACAGGTGGTGAGGGTTCTTTTGTGTGTGGCGACCAGCACTAGCCTCTTAAATTGTTCCCAGTCTGAATCCAAGCTCCAATTTGTGCTAGTGCTAATCACTAATTTGCGTAGGCCTGTCATAACAGTCAGTGCAACATGAGAGTGTCATCCTACTGAGCCATGGATTTTGAGTTTCCTTTAAAAGTAAAAGCCAAGTTGGTGTGTTGTAAAGAAACCTCCATGTAGCTATGGTGCTAGTTTTTACTGGCTACATACCTGACACGTGTGCTAGTGACCCCAAGCCCAAGCGTGCAAGTCCTTCAGTTACGAGTATGTACTTTGTGTGGTATATTAAAACCGTAGGCTATGAAGACAGTCTATAAGAACACTAATCTGTCAAGTGGGTGTTCTCCAAATTGGAATTATTTGTAATACGACACTTAAAGGTTCTTCTTTAAAAAAAGAGTTTGTGTGCTTTTAATTCACTAACTTCTTGCTGCTGTAAAGTAAAAATATTAATATATTTTTATCATTAAACCTGCTGCATGACTATCATCATTGCAAGTGAAAATAATATACTATAAATGATGCCTTAAAACAGGGGGAAAAAAAACCGGTTAGGATTCTGTAGGAAGAGATGACAACATAAGAATCTGTATGATTCTTGAGTCTTGGAGTATACTCATTTCCTTAACATCCTTGACAAATTGAACAGTGTAGATTCCGTTGCTGTAGGATATGCCACCGGTAGGGACAGAAACTTTCTATGTTTCTTATTGATTGTAAGAGGTTGGGTCTAGGAAAGACAACGATTGTTCAGAGGAAATGTGTCTTTTATTTTCATTGATTAAAGTATAATTCCCTTTTTGGAGATGTACTGTAAGCGTTGATATAAAACATGTTTCCGTTGTATCATCCATTTCCAGTAAAACAAGTTTGCTTCTGGTGTCCCCAGAACACCTAATGTGCAATAATGTTGTAGTGCTTAGGAATTTTTGTTTGTAAAGAATCACTGGAATTTATTACATTACTTTTTAAGATGCACTTTCCCACATAGCAAAAATAAGCTTCCATAGTGCATAATGTGATAACTGAAATGGTTTTTGACCACATTACCAGCCTTGATGTTAAGCTTGCTTTGCTTTACCTGGAAGGTTTGTCGACAGTTTCTTATTGTATTTGAACTGTGATGTGGAAAGGACTGTATTTTCCATGCTGCAGGTAGCTAGGAAGATTGCTTTGATTTTGCTGTTTGTTGTCTTTGCACTCACTATTGGCGTTCACTATCGTTTGAAAACTTGCAGTACTGCAGTTTGGCAGAAGTTTTGATTTTTAGCAATAACTTGTGTGGGTCACCTGTGTGTGCAGCAGCGTGTGTCTATTTTTCGTTCCCTTTGGATTAATTCAAACTTGGTTAAGAGCAAAACCTTATTCGGCTTTAGACTAGACACAGGCAACAGTGCTAAAAGCGATCCTAGAGTAGTTTCGCTACTCACGACGTGAGCACACATTCTGTGCGTCCCACTATTCGCTCTGGCCAAACAGCTGGTCTTGCAGGTTTATGAAACAAAACAAATACCTGTTTATCAGAGACAGGAGTAGAAATAATACATGTACCCAGATTCATCTTTCCAGCTACCTTTGACTCCCTGAAAACCTGCCGTCTGAATCCAGACAACCTTTAGCTTTTTTCAGACGTCAGTCGAAAGAATCAGCATTTTGCTTGTTTCCTTTTCCTTAGAGTCAATATCCCAGAAAGGGAAGTCCTTTCGGCCCCACGTCTGAGGGTCCTGTCTCTAATCCGTGTGGGCCACGGTACACGGGCATGGATTGCGCAGTTCTCCTTGTATTGCAAGTTCTCCCTGTATTACCACATTTTACCACAGTCCTAGGAAAGTTTGGTATCCTGAGAATAGCTAGGTCTTGAACAATGGTAATGCTAAGATGATAACACTGACGACAAATTCTGTTATTTTAAGTTTCTCTTTTTTCCGACTGAGGTGCTCAGTACTCTACCAAGGTTCTGTTGCGCACTGTTTAAAATAAATAGTAGTGACAGGACCTTGTTTTAAGGCCAGAAGAATAAAAGAAATGGTATATTTGACCATATTTGGTGTTCTAAAAACAGTATGCTCAAATGTGCCAAGCAATCCACATTTTAGAAAACATGCCTTATTTTCCTTTCTATGTTTTCAGTGTCTTGTAGTAATCCTACAGTCACAATGCTACTTTATATGAAGTGCAAGTAAACTTGAAATCCACTGCAATACAGACATAGATGTTTGTTTGTTTTTTTTAAGCGAAAGGGACACTGTCAAGTAACTTACATCTAAAAACATGACCTCCCTTTCAAGTGATTACAGCATGGCGAATGTCCTCATTTTAAGTCCACTCGTTTTTTTTTTTTTTTAATTGCTCTGTCTGAGAAATTAAATAAACAAGTTAAAAATTAGACACTGTTGATTCATGCCTCTTTATTGTTTTCTGCTGTAAAATACAGTTTCCGGCCAGAGGGGGAGCTAAAGTAGCTTTAAAAAAAAAAAAGTAAAAATCTAAATAGTGCTGAAATTGTAGAATTCAACTATGTGTCAGAAAAAATTAGTAGGGAAAAGGGAAAGCAGAGAATCCACCATTTACTAACAAATCACCCAGGGTGGAAATACGGTTATTTTCAAGATTGTAGGCAAGCCTTGCATACAGATGCTGGAAAACTTACGGAAGCGTGCATGTTTAACCGACGAATACTTGACAGTGTCACTTTTAAAGTGCCCGTTGCAGGCGTTCCAGCTTGCTCTGTTAAGCTCTCTTTGAAAAGTACTACGAAACAGAACCACCCATTCAGAACTTTGGAAAAGGCAGTCACCCTGTCTACTGTTCAGACAATTGTATCAGGCAACGAAGAAACTTGTCTACAGTAGGCTAACCACTTCATTTTAGAACAATTATATTTTTGACTTTTCAAAACAGCACTGTAGCAACCTTTTTGATCAGCCATGTCCCTTTTAAGCTATGCAAACTATTGTATATATTGTGGTCAGTTAACTGGATGGGATTTGTGCACTAACAAGTATATATAATTCTAGTTATTAGCATTACTTTTTATGCTGGCAGCAAACTATAACAAATCTACCTATTCTGAATGGTAAATATTATACACCCTGACTTCTGGTAATTTGGAAAGAATAAAATATCTTCCTGCAATGGGATTCTGATATTTTATAACTGTTTCCATTAAAATACTATTTTGTCCGTTTTTATTTAACTTGTAAAATAGTTTTTGCTTTGTACTGGCATACATAAAATAGGGTATTGGTATATTTTTGAAGCAAACTGATCAAGTACATTTGTAATAAAAAAATCAATGGATCTGTTTCGGTTGTACTCACTGTTTTCATTTCTTGTTTAGTTTTCATGCATGGTGTTCTGTGTTCCCCGAGAAACAGCCAATGCAACCTGGGAGGGGCAACAGCGTTAGGAAGGAAAAGGACACAGATTAACTGCGCAAATTCAAGTCCATTTTATCTCCCAAATTATATTCATCCGTTCTCAGTGGTTCGGGCATCTTGTCCTGGTCACCCAGATCATGGTTGAAAGGATACGGAACGTGCCACATACGTGCTTCCGCCTTACCTCTCCTGTGCTGATGCTTCCCGGCGTGTCCAGGTGTCTTCTGCTAGCAAGTTGCCACGTCTTCCAGACTGAGCATCTGTGGCCTAGTACATTGTCCCCATACGGTGACTCGCAAGCCCATCAGACCATTGCTTGGAGCCAGCCTTAGCCTGATGTGACAACCTGTGGCTAGAAGAAACCTGGGAAGAGCAGAAGGGTGTAGTATGTCATGGAGAAGGTACAGTTGCTCCCATGGTACTTTCTCCAAACCATACTACAGAGGCTTACCTGAACCGAGTCAGTAACAATGAATTGGAGTTGCATTTTATTTAAGTCATATTGCATTAAAAGTTTTGCATGAGCCTAAAGTCGTTCGGTTTTTCTGATCATACCCCATTTCCCAAGCTTGGCTACCTTAGCATATATTAGAATTGACAGATATTGAAATGCCCACTGGAATTGCCTCCTCTCCTTTCGAGTTATTTAAAAATAAGCATTTATGTGTTCCATTTCTCT